TATATGCAACGACATGATAAAGTCCAACTGTACACCACGCTTCGATAACTCCTTGTGCCTCTAGTAGCCTATTTAGCATAAACAAACAACAACTGTGACAACTTTCGGGTCAGAAACAAGAAAAATCAATGGAAATGTGTGTGCGTGAGGGAGCCTCACGCACACACAAATACAGGCAGCACTGTTCCGTCCTGTACCGAGGTTAAGTTTGACTAACTTGAAGCCACTTACTGTTAAAGACGATAACTTATATCCGCAGACTTGCAAAGTACAACATGAACAGGCTTAACTTACCTCATTAGAGCGTGCAGCTGCATAGAGCACATCCAGGCCTAGCTTCAGTTGCTAGTGTGAGCGGCAGCAGAGCATCTTCTGGTCTGGCGGGTGGGCTTCGCTTTCTGCGTGACCGGAAAATTAACTCGTTATAACGAGAAAACGATTTTGTTTTCTCGTTATCACGACAAAACGGATTTTGTTATCGCGTGATAACGACAAAATTATCTCGTTATAACGAGAAAACGGAGGAGAATTATCTCGTTATAACGAGAAAACGGAGGAGAATTATCTCGTTATAACGAGAAAACGGAGCAAAAAAATTAAGTTGGACCATGGCCGCTTAGGGCTTCCGTAAAAAAAAAACATTATGATGACATTTTTGTAACTTCAAATTATGATTCAAAGGTTCTCTGTTTTTTCTGTAAATCTATCAGTTGTAAATATCAATTATCTGCCTCCTTGATCACCAATAATCAGTATTGGTAGCAGCTCTGGCAGAAACCCTGTCAGTCAACCACTACATGATTCAAACATGTTCAATGGGGCCCATAGTCTATCAATAAACACCACAATCATAAATGTTGATTAGAAATGAATCATCAAGTTGGCAGCTGTGTTTGTGTTGTTCTAGAAATCAGCCATCAGCCTTATTACAGCTCGCCTCACTCGCTTTTTCTGTCTGTAGTTAACTTACAATACGTGCAAACGGCTGCATGTTTGAAACAGCACATAAAATACGTGACGGAGCTCGTAATAGCTCAAGTTTAATAACTAACTTTGTGTTATTTGACATGAAGCAGGATGAAAACTGAGTGTTTTGACAGAAACTATTCAGGTTTCTGTCATTTGCCTCCTGTGAGCGGAGCACTGAGGTCTCTGTAATTCCCTCTGCTATGTGACAACGGTTATTAAACCTGCATAACACCTGCTCAGCGGTGAGGCTGTTGTCAGTGATGTGACTCGGCCTTTTTGTCTTTTATTCGCTGTAATCCATGCATGTGTAAGTGGATCCTCTTGGAGCAGGATAACTCCTTTTAAGCGGTTTTAAACACTACAGGAGGGACTCAAATCCACTAACTTCTCATTTACCTCCACACTTCAGTCTTTAGTGTGCGATGCTTTTATCCTGGTGGTTGGACCTACTGCACCAGTGCCCCCGTTTCTTGCTCAGAATTCACCTTTGTGCTGATTGAGGACCAGCGGAATATGTTGTTGTTTAAAGGTCTAAAGGACGAAGCAGTCAGCAGGTTTCAGACGCTGAGTGAAGTGGCCATTACTCATTTGGACTGAACCCTGGTCGTCTTGATGAACCCGGACGAGCCCTGCTGGCCCGCAGAAGGGGAAATGATCCGGAGGGTGAGGGGGGGGCAGTGAGTGAGTGGTGGCGGCTCTGGGATGGGGAGGGTCACACACAAGCACACTCTTTGTGTGCCTCTAATCCCCCCAGCCAACACAGCTTTGGCCAGGTTTCATCATGAAAGTGCCATGAAATAACTACTTTTTTTCTCTCCTCGCAGTAAATCTCCCCTAATCCTGCGGGCTGCGGAGACAAAGGCCTCTGAGACCTAATCCTGGAGCTTTTAGTGGGGCTGAGGGGCTGGCCGACAGAGCCTCTTCTAAATGACTTATTTCTATCGGACACTAATATAGCTTGACAGCCAAGAACGGTGAAAGGAGGAGGAAAAAGCCAGGGAGAAAAAAAGAGCACAAACATTTTCACATATTTTGGAAGTCTGAGCAGTTGATTGTGTGCGAATTTGAACAGAAGAAGTGAAGCATGCTTATTGGGCTACACCCTCAAAGTACACAACAGCAGAGGTATCCCACATTGTTCATCTGCGAATATTAATAAACCCCAGAGCTCGTTCTTCTGATGCTGTTGTTTCTGGTGCAGGAATGTACCTGTGGCTTCTTACTGGGCATCAAAATGAGTTTGATAAAATCACTCTTATGGTCACAAAAGAAATGCAGCACACATTTTCCAGGGCCTTCACCATGCAGTGAACATCTACGATGTCTGTTCCTGAAAACACAGTCTTTCTTTTTTAGCCTCCTTCTGTGTTGTTTTTGGTTCTTGCGGTACAGATTTAGGGGTAGTTCATGTTCTTCTCATATAGAACTGCAGCTACTGAATGTCTTATTTCCTGGAAGAAGAATTTCTTCTCTGTCCAGGTTTCTCCTCGTAATTCCTTGTTAAGATACAGAAGTTTTTTTTTTTGTTTTTTTTTTATCTATATTGAGAGTAAACATAAGACAACTTTACAATGTGGTGCTTTATAAACGTGGACTTGATTTTTCCTCTAAGGGGTCAGTGTGGACGAGGCCAGTCAGGGCCTCAAGAAAGCACAAGAACCGAAACTACACATAAAATATGGTTGTTATACGATGGTTCAGGCATTCATCACAACAAGTACTATCTGTGGAAGAGGTCGAACGACGGCTCCTGTGGCTCTGAAAGAAGCTTTCAAAAGTCTAGAAGTGTGAAGTTGGGCTTGAAACAACTCATTTGTACCAGCAAACCTGATTACAAACTGCAGTTTGTGGAGTCAAATGAGCTTCCAGGGGGCCGAGAAGGTCTAATTAAAGACACCATGGAGTTGCATCATGGGCCATGTAGAATCCTTTTGCCCAAACTGGAGAGAATTTAGGTCTCAGAGCAGCTCAGCCTTTAAAACTCTGCCTCATGAACTTCAGTTAAAAAACTAAACTTGCAAAGTATGATCAGCAAATTATGCAGCGGTGTGCATTTTGTTTGGACCACAATGCATCAGCAGGACTTTAACATGTAAAATGAGAATCTGTGAAGTCACCAGTATCTGGAGCAGCTGGATAGTTTCACCTCCAAACATTTGCAGAAGCATAAAATGGAAATAAATCAGAATGTTTGACCTTTCTTCAGCGACAGAGTTGGTCTAAAAACAAAAAAAAAAGTGCACCAGAAGTCATGCTGGTGAACATATTTCATGTGCAAAATGATAAATTGACATCGGAGGACTTCCTGCTTTCAGATGGTTTGAAGCTTTTCCGGCTCCTGAGAAGACTTCTAATTTAGCTCAGCTGGATGTGAAGAAATACTTCTGGCTGGTTCAGATTAACTTCACATGGTGACAGTTCATAGGCAAAATATGGTGCCTGTTAGCAAAACAAACCCTCAGAGAAAACCCCCTCCGAGGGGAGACTGTCAAAACCAGCGGTATGAGAGAAAGAGGGCTGAGAAGGAGAGCACAATCAAAGGCTGTTATTTTAATCTGTCCTGCCTCGGAGATTAGCCGACCGCATTGTTTTAATTGTTTTAACGGGAGGGAATGAAACGCTCGCTTATAGGGGGATCCTTGGCATAAATCTCTCAAGTTCAATAGTTTCAAAAACTTGAGCTCCTTGCAACCCCCCTCGCTCCCCTCATCCCACCTAATCCCGGCTAATACCTTTCTTTCTATTGGCTAATGGCTGAGGGGAGCCTGGGTAAATGCTTCTTAAATAGTCGTGGGTGAGAATGGTTTCGGAGAATTAGATCTGTGCCACGACAAAGAGCGCTGGTTTGGAGGGATATAAGGCCCAAATTGGACTAAGAAATACACCAGGACCACGGCTCACCGCGTCCACCTCTGTGCGTAAAAGCGCACCTGGATCTCACGCTGCTGCTGCTGCTGCTGCTGGAGGGGATTTGGATCTCAGGTAAACAGAATTCAACATTTTAACAACGTTTTCATCAAGACTGAATGTCGGCACTGTTCTGTTGGGTTCACTGTGGGACGTAGATCACATTTTTGAGTTGTAATATCAAAGCTAATATTCTGATTTTTTAGCTCTAAGATACAAACAGCGCTAAAGTTGAAGCATCTTTTGTCTCTGCTTTTATGTTCCTGATCTTTAAAGGGTCTGATCTTATCCTTGTCTGGTTTTATTTCTTTAAATATGTGCAAAAATCCAGATATATTTGCACAATTTAAGGTTGCTGCGAAGTGCAAAGTTCTTGAATCTTGAAAGGGTTCGTTGGTTTGTTAGTGCAAATATGCTGCTATATCCATCCACATTATGTAGTAATAATAATGATGATATTAATATTATTATATTACATTTTCCAATTTATATTTTAAATCCATATTCTCTTACTAACAGAATTTTCCCATTTTACTCTTAGAAATGTAACTCATAGTAAATATTCATGCTCTTAAACAGTATTTGGTGGAAACTGGCAGATTGATCACTTTGTGCAGATTGATTTGTTTCGTCAGATTGGCTGAAAACTGAAAACAGGCAGTAATAAAGAGTTCAGGGAGCACTGAAACCTAATGTTAAACCTAATTCCCAGTAGGGGACTTGAGGGGCGATGAGGAGGGGGGATCCCACCCTCCTGATAACCTGCCACCCCCCATGTACACAGTTGTGTGGTTGCTGTTGTCGGAGCTCCCGCTGAGCCATCTCACACAAAACAAAGCACTTTCTGGTCATTCCTGTGAGAATAATTCTATCTCTGATGTGTGTTTTTGTTGGTTTATCAAATTTCCAAGTGATCTAATGACCAAATAATAATATGGTAAAGTATTAATTCTTCAGTCATTTCCTTTGTGTCTCCATGACTAAAGTGAATTTGGAAGGTTTTAGAAGCAAATGGCATAAAGTGGAGATTTTCTGGTGGTTTACAGTTGATGTAGCATCATTTTCTCTGGTGATATCCACCCTAAAGTCAGTTAAAGAAATCTTCCTGTTCCCTCAGATTCATCATGAACTCCTTGAATTTCTGCGGGGCGTCCGGTGCTGGTGCTGGTGCTGGTGGAGGAGTGTATCCCCTCCACGGCGTTAACTCCATGCTGTTCGACCTGCGCCACCAGATGGCAGAGCAGTACCACGCTTACCCTGCAGCAGGCCCGGCGGTGCACACGCTGTCTGTGGCGGAGAGGCTGGCAGGTGGGTCATCATGGTCAAACCGCAGCACTCTGAGGCAGAGAGCAGCTTAGCTGAGATTTTAAATGGATTTTTTTTTTCTTTTTACACAGATTTATTCAGCTTTTACTCCACTACATTTATTTTGAAACTGTAGTGACTTTAAGGTTAACAGTACAAAATATAACTAACAAATAAGTTATGATTATTATTATTATTATTAAGGTATCAGATAAGTCTTTATTGATTCTCAGGGAACATCACAACCCAAACAGAAATAACTGTGACCCAGTGATGTCACAGCTGTGTGACTTTTGGTGCTAATACGTTTGCACTTTGAGTATCTCTGCAAGTTTACTCAAGTAAGAGATGTACAGATTCATGAGCACTGAATTGCTCAGCAGTATATAAATCAGTCAACCTGAGCTCAGTCCCAACCAGTGTTCAAATGCTACCAACACATCAGTGATAATAACCCAGTGATACCTTTTAAACATAACGCACATTTTGTTGATGATATGCCCGTATTTGTGCGAAAGTGAAATCATGAGAGCAGTTCTTGTAATGGAGTATTTTTACCAAGTGGGGCTGCTTTGACTTATTCCTCTAATACTACTTCCACTAATGCAAGGCTGTCTACACTGAATCTCTGCCTTCAATTTACACATTTACATCCAAACAAAGGAGGCAACTTTCAGCAAATAAAAAAGTCTAAATGTGTCCCTGACAAAAACAAACAAAGAAAATTTCAAATGACCGTGATGATCCTTATTAAGTTTGTTGAGATGCTGACGTGTTGTTGTCGTTCCTGTCCGTCCTGCCAGAGCTCATCCTGGAGGCTCGCTACGGCAACCAGCAGAAGCAGCGCCGCAGCCGGACTGCGTTCACGGTGTCGCAGCTGCAGGCTCTGGAGAAGGCCTTCCAGCAGACGCAGTACCCAGATGTGGGCATGAGGGAGAGGCTGGCGGTGTGCATCAACCTGCCGGAGGCTCGCATTCAGGTGAGAACGAGCTCCATCCATCACCTGACGAACACCTGAAAACAAACTGCGTGCCAGGTACAGTCGTCCTCAGAGTTATTCATACCCTCCCATTAAAGAAGGAAAAAAACAGCTGTTACTGAAATAAGCTAAAATTGACAAAAGTAATCATAAATAAAAATTTAATGAAAATTATGACGTTGCTTTTGAATTGTGGTTCAACAGAAATATTTAAAAGAAAAAACAAACAAAAAAAAAAACAGCATGATGGGACATGTAGACTAATATTTAGCTGAACAACCCTTTGAGCCAATCACTGCCATCAGGTGTTTCTGTAACTCTCAGTCAGACTTCTGCACCTGTTGGCAGGTGTTCTGGACCACTGCTCATCAGCAAAGGGCTCTCATTTGTCCAGGACAGTTTTTAATTTGTTTTTTTTGTGAAAATTATTCTTTTCAACCACAATTCAAAAGCAACATCTTGTTTCAATAAATCATAATTTAGCAAATTTTTATTTATTATTACTTTGTCCAGTCTCTCGTTATTTGAGTGACTGTTGTGAACTTTGCCTTTTCTTTAATGGAAGAAGATGAATACATTTGAGGACGACTGTAGATGTGAGTATGATAGATTTAAATGTGCATATATGCTCAAAACTCCTCTGTTTTAATTAATGACGCCTTTATATGAATGCATTTGCCTTCTGCTCCTCCTCGTCCAGGTGTGGTTCAAGAACAGGAGGGCAAAGTTTCGTAAAGGCCAGAGATGCTCTCCTCTCTCCAAAGACCACAGTCTGGAAGAAGCTCCGTATCACAGAAAGACAGGACAGGAGGAAGCGAGGACTGTCGACAAACAGGACGTCGTCACATCCCGCGCTGACGGCAGCATACCTCCTCTTCCTCTTCCTCCTCCCCCTCACGTGACCAAAAGCAGGGATTCGGACTTTGACGCCTCACGGTGCCCCCTCAGACTCCACTCTCCTCCGCTCTTCCCCTTCATGGCGGGGGAGCGTTACCCGCCTCGCCAGCCGCTCGTTGGAGTGCTGTCCACGGAGCTCGCCCTCCCTCCGGTGTTCTGGCCCATCATACAGCAGCACAGCTCCGCCTTGGGGGTTCCGCCGTCATCTGTCACCAAAAACTGTAGCCTCTCCATTCAGACTGCTTGCTCCGGTAAAGCAGTGCGCCACCCTCACCTGGGGCTGTAACCGATGTGGACGTATGAACCCGGCACATACACCTCTGCTCCTCCTGAAGGAAGAAACCTGACAACAGACAACAAACACAATATTACTCTGTGGGATCTATCTAAAAGAATGTCATTCACTTTCAGTTATTTAAAGTTAATCAGCCTTAATGACCATATACAGCTTGATTTTTCCTGTTGTTTCAGTGGCTTGAATAAGCTGGTCATCTCTCACAGTTTGGATCCAGACAGAAGGAAGTATAACTATCACACCTATTGTCTTCTGCAGCATTGTACAGACTGGCTGCACTGGCACGTATTAGTCATAGCAGACAATAACAGAAGTGGTAAAAGCATCTGAGAAAAGTTTCTTATTGTAACTGAGCACTGCAGCATAGAAATGTGAAATAAAACTATTTGCACCTCTTGCCTGTTTCTTTCTAAGTTGTGTGAGGCGTAGCAGCACTGAATGGATTTCACTAAAGCAAGCATCAAATGAAAAGAAGAAAATGTGGCACAATAAGGGGGCCGGGCAAGAGTGGAGCTGCTTTAATTATATGATCATAACATGTTTTTGTTTTTTGAAAAATTCTCAAAATTATAACTCCATAGATGACAGTGTTCAACTTTTATGATTACGTTTGATTTTAAATTTTGCATATGTCATAATATACGTCACATTTCTATATTAGAATAGAATAGAATATATATTCTAACATATATATAATAATATATTAATGTCAAACTTAAAACATTGTCACAAAAAAGTTCATATCAGCGTGTAAGCTTATAGATATTATCACATTATTATTATTATTACATTGAATTATGCAAAAAATCAATAGTTGGATGTTTGGAGACAGTTTGAGGTATAAAGTAATAACGACACCAACACAACAAACTGGACCCAAAATGTTTGTGAAGTTAACTGGGTTTCATTCTGGGCTGTGAATTGGCTGCAATGCACAATTTCTTTCATTGCTGATTCGTCTTTAAATTATTTTCTGGGATTAACGACATGGTGGTTAGCACTGTTGCCTCGCAGCTAGAAGGTCGCCGGTTCATGTCCCGGTGAGGACACCCGGGATCTTTCTGCGTGGAGTCTCCATGTTCTCCCCGTGCAGCGTGGGTTCTCTCCGGGTTCTCCAGCTTCCTCCCACAGTCCAGAAACATGTTGAGGTTAATTGGTGATTGTAAATTGTCCGTAGGTGTGAATGTGAGTGTGCTTGGTTGTCTGTCTCTAAGTGTAGCCCTGTGATAGACTGGTTACCTGTCCAGGTGAACCTGCCTTCATCCTGAGTCAGCTGGGATAGACTCCAGCCCCCCACGACCCTAGTGAGGATTAAGCGGTGTATAGATGATGGATGGATGTTTATTCTATAATACAGTCAAAACTGATCAGCCCTCCAGGATGGCATGTTCAAATGACTGGTTTGTATGATTAATGTTGGTAACGTTTGTGTGATTTCTGGGTGTGCACAGCTTCCGTTTGCTCAACAAACTGCTGAACTCATTTGGTATAAAGTCCATATGAGGATTTAAGTCGTGGGTTCTTCATCAACATACAGCATTAACAGCTGTTCAACACATTTTTAATCGCTGAAACATTCGACTGGTAGAGGAAAAACACATATGAGGGGTTCACATTAAATTTTGTGGTAAAATATAACCAAGTATTATTTCTCAGGTAAAGAAAATGAGGCACTTATACTTTAGTGTTTTATGTTATTTTTGACTTTTTCTACACAACATTTCAGAGGAAAATATTGTCCTTTTTACCCGTCTACTTTTATTTAACAGCTTTAGTTACTCTTTTTGAATTTCATAACCGATAATGTATAATAATGTATATAATACTGTAGGGTCTTAACCTTAATATTACAACTTTATAAATTCATACACGTCATCAATCGCATTTCTCACTAGGAAAGCACTTTGGCTCAGTGCAATAGTTCAATGGAGAGCAGAATGAAATATTAACAGATATGTGATATATAGCATAGACAGCATATACACATCATATACTGTATGTACATCACATACTTTAATATTGATCATCAATAATATATAATAATGTATGTAAGCTTGTAGGTTCTTAACTTAAATATTTAAGTTAGCCGGGCAAATCTGTCTGATCTATAATACTGCACACGTCCCACCTTAATATTTAATTTGCCAGCTTTCACTGACACTAAACCTTAATATTTAAACTTCATAAAATCATAAC